TTTAATTTAAATTAAAAATTTTTATTTAACTTTAAATTTTTTTAATTTCCTAAATTTAATTCTTTGTGCCTTATATTACCTTTTTTGAATATACGTTTAAATATATTTGAATTAAATAATTATTTAGAGATAAATAATTTATTTTTTATATATATCTATTTATCTAAATATTTTATAAAAATATATAATAACTTTACAATGTATATACATTCCAGTTTGAATTAATTACATAATTATTCATGTTATTTAAATATAAAGATGAATAAATATATATATATATATATATATATATATATATTTTACTGAATTTATTTTGTTATTGTATATATTATAAACGTTTTAAAATAAAGCAATAATTATACATTTGTATCATTATAGGAAATTTATCTAAATATTATATATTATGTTGTCACTTACTTAGTGCAACTTTTTGATTTGACTACTTTTTGATGCTAATATTTTAACCTTTTTTCTCGTATTATCAATATAATTATTTAGCGCAATTTTTTGATTTCACTACTTTTTGATGCTAATATTTTAATTTTTTTCTAGTATTATTAACAAAAATAAAATATAATTTTTGAGAAAATATTTTTGATAATGATTAATTTTTGCAAAGAATTATTTTGGCTATAAACATAATTTTTGAGAAGATTATATTTTTTATTATTATAAAAAACTATTTTTGCTGACAAAAGATATAACTTAGCGCTTTTTTTTTACATCTGTAATGTCTTTTTTTGTGGGATTTCACATATTTTTGCAAAGATCATTAAACAAAATGCATTAAATAAATGTATATTTTTTATATTTATAATGAGAAGACGAGAGAGAGCGAGAAGACCCAAGAGAGAGAGCGGGAGAGAGCAAGAGGGAGCAAGAGGGAGCAAGAGAGAGCGAGAGAAAGCGGGAGAGAGTAAGAGGGAGCGAGAGAGAGCGAGAGAGAGCGAGAGAGAGCGAGAGAGAGCGATAGAGAGCGATAGAAAGCGGGAGAGAGCGAGAGAGAGCGATAAAGAACGATAGAAAGCGGGAGAGAGCGAGAGAGAGCGGAAAAAAACGAGAGAGAGCGAAAGAGAACGACAGAGAGCGGGAGAGAACAAAAGAAGGCGAGAAACAGCGAGAGAAAGCGAGAAAGAGCGAGAAAAACCGAGAAAGAGCGAGAGAAGACGAGAGAGAGCAAGAGAACGCGAGAGAGAGCGGGAGAGAGCGAGAAAACGCGAGAGAGAGAGCGGGAGAGAGCGAGAGAAAGCGAGAGAAGGCGATAGAGAGCGAGAAAAAGCGATAGAGAGCGGGAGAAAGCGAGAGAGAGCGAAAGAGAGCGAGAGAGAGCGAGAGAGAACGAGAGAGAGCGGGAGAGGACGAGAGAAGGCGAGAAACAGCGAGAGAAAGCGAGAGAGAGCGGGAGAACGCGAGAGAGTGCGGGAGAGAGCGGGAAAGAGCAAGAGAGAGCGAGAGAGAGCGAGAGAGGGCGAGAGAGGGCGAGAGAGAGCGAGAGAGAGCGAGAGAGAGCGGGAGAGAACGAGAGAAGGCGAGAAACAGCGAGAGGAAGCGAGAAAAAGCGAAAAAAACCAAGAGAGAGCGGGAGAGAGCAAGAAAGAGCGAGAGAGAACGAGAGAGAGCGGGAGAGAACGAGAGAAGGCGAGAAACAGCGAGAGAAAGCGAGAGAGAGCGAAAAAAACCGAGAGAGAGCGGAAGAGAGCGAGAGAGCGAGAGAGAGCGATAGAGGCCAAGAGAGCGCGAAAGAGAGCGATAGAGGGCGTGAGAGAGCGGGAGAGAGCAAGAGAGAGCGAGAGAAGACGAGAGAGAGCGAGAGAACGCGAGAAGGCGAGAAACAGCGAGAGAAAGCAAAAAAAACCAAGAGAGAGTGAGAGAAGACGAGAGGGAGCGAGAGAGAGCGAGAGAGAGCGATAGAGAGCGATAGAAAGCGGGAGAGAGCGGAAAAAAACGAGAGCGCGAAAGAGAACGAGAGAGAGTGGGAGAGAACAAAAGAAGGCGAGAGAAAGCGAGAAAGAGCGAAAAAAACCGAGAAAGAGCGAGAGAAGACGAGAGAGAGCAAGAAAACGCGAGAGTGAGCGGGAGAGAGCGAGAAAACGCGAGAGAGAGCGGGAGAGACCGGAAGAAAGCGAGAGAGCGAGAGAGAACGAGAGAAGGCGAGAAACAGCGAGAGAAAGCGAGAAAGAGCGAAAAAAACCGAGAGAGAGCGAGAGACGACGAGAGAGAGCGAGAGAACGCGAGAGAGAGTGGGAGAGAGCGAGAGAACGCGAGAGAGAGCGGCAGAGAGCGAGAGAACGCGAGAGAGCGGTAGAGAGCAAGAGAGAGCGAGAGACAGCGAGAGAAAGCGAGAGAGGGCGAGAGAGAGCGAAAAAAGACGTGGGAAAGCAAGAGAGAAAGGGTGAAAGAGGGGGGAGAGAGAGGGGAGAGAGAGGGGGAGAGAGAGAGAGAGAGAGTGAGAGAGAGCAAGAATTTATTTTTTGTTTGGTTGCTTAAAAGGTTAAGCAGCTGAGGAAAATGTCACTATACTAGGATGGGTGACCGCGGATAAGGTAAAGCAGCTTCGGACAGAATCACTTTGTCGGGATGGGTGATCGGGACAAGTACGACGCCGTATCTTAAAAAAAAGTGACACCTTTTCGACCAAAAAATAACTTGAAAAATTCATATCTCCGCAACCAATAGAGCTATCCAGTTCCTTAAGGTCTCATTTTACTCGGAAAAAATCGCGCTTTCGATTGATATGGTCATCTTTTGAAAAATATGTTTCCGTTCATGAAATATTTCAAATTTTTGTTTTCAAGGTTACGAAAATCGTGTTACGTCCGGTAAAGGATACACAGTAGCGTCCTACGGATAATTTTCGCTATTGTTTCGATATTTTCGCTATCTTTTCGATATCTTTCGATATTTTTTTTTGTTTTTTTGTAGATTGTATTTTAATTTGACGAATAAAAGATATAACTTAGCGAGACGCTACCGCGTCTCCTGATATATCGAAACTACGATATATATCGAAACTGTATGCATTAAGATGACGATACTTGAAAACTATTTTGTTAGTTGTGAAGAGGGGTAGAAAAAATAAATTTTTATGCGATTGATTAAACTTTATTGAACATATTTCATCCATGGTCGAAAACCTTTGGCACACAATAAGCATCTATACTTTGCATTTGGATCTGTCCAGTTTGTTGTATCATTGAATTTCCTTTTGAGACACAATTGATGTGCCCAACGTCGACAAGTATTGCACATTACTAAAGATATTTGACGATCGCTGAAACAATATTGACAAACGTCTTTCATACATCTAGATGACGTTAATAAGGATTCGGCAATTGTAATTCGATATTGTGCAGGATTAAAATTTTCATCAAATGATTTGTCGCGTATTATACAGTCTAGATAATATATAACATATGTTCCACAATTAAATGTATCCTTTTGAAAAGGCCTATTATTACATGTTATTTCGCGCCACGATCTATCACATATGTTTTTACCAGACTCATCTATCAAAGAGGTTTCCTTTAAATAATTTTTAAATGCTGTAATCGCTCGTTTCTTGTCAGGACTTTCGGTATATTTTGGATCTAAGTGTAAAATTGTATTCTTGTAACAATCAAAAATTAAAAGATGCCAATGAGATAAATATAAATAAGGTATTAACATTACACCGCTAATAGGATTTTTTATATTGTACATGCGCCAATGTGCACTCTTAGATGTTTTATAGGAATTTCCTATCATATAGTTTGAATGATTTGTAGGAACATACAGGTATATAAAGTTAGCAGAGATGCTGTTTAGTAAAGTAATTGCGAAACAATCAATAATCTTGCCTTCAATCCAATTTTCATTTTTTAAAGTACAAAATTCTTCTGCAATAAGATTATAAATATCAAATCCTGTTACTGATGCATTTGTTATTGATCCGTATTGTCCAATTGTAAATGTAGGGTCTGGTGATTTCATATAATATTCGACATCCAAAAATAATCCATTTTCAAGGGCATTTGCATGAGTAGAACTTTCGCTTAAGTTCAATTCTGATAAATCTATTGTATTTTTATTTGATATAGGCGTACTTGTACGAAAGTTATACTTTTTAGCTATGCGTCCTAAGGAGCGAGCTTCAAAATGACTGTACAAAGGTTTTTGCTTTTTTTGCCACGTTTCTTCTATTAATTCGTTATTTGTGTCTTGTGTATTACAATATTTAATATTACGTTTTCTGCGTTTTATAGATATATTCAATTTCAATTCAGCGCATACTTGTGTTGTATAATCTTTCATTTTTTTAACAAAACGTCCAACATTTAAGTTCACTTCATCATTTAAAACATTTTTTTTTTACAATATTAAAAAAACTTTCAACATTCGCATTGCTTAATCGAATTTTATCAGGTGTAACCAGTTTTAATAGTAACCACAGTTTTAATAGCAGACCACATTGGAACAAAAGGCATGTAATGACTTGTAATGTAATCTGCAATTTCTGGAGCATAGTATTTATTATCTTTTACACTATTTTTTTCAACAGTATTTTTTAAATCGCACAATTTCGATATGTATCTTTTAAAAAATGGCGAATCGATGAAAATTCGACCTTCTGGCTCATTATTGTCTACAAAGTCTGCGTCACTTTCAAAATCTGAGTTTACATCGTGTATTTCATTCTCAAATTTATATTTTGAAGCATGAAATTTTTTCATATTGATAATACTATAATATTATGAGCCTCTTTGTTAGATGATGTCAATAATATGATCATAAATTTTTCATAACAATAATCTAAATCGTCTAAAGTGTTACAATGTATCAATATACCCATGCACTCTAATATGAGACTTTTATTTTTAATACTTTTCGAAAATTTGTTAGAAATAGTAGACGAAATGCGCTTTTGAAAGTGTGCACAACAGCTATGTACAACAATTAAGTTTGAACGTATTATTTCTTTCTTATTAAGCGTTATGTAAACTTCTTCTAAATATTGTGATACTGTTAGTGTATTCCACTCGTTCATAATTGCATTAATTAATGCCCAACTCCAGTCGACAACGATAACTGAGAATAATGGCCAGCTAAAACGTTTAGTTCGCAAAAATGTTTCTTTGTTAATTACTAACGAATGGCTGGCCATCTACACCTAATATTTTAGGTATGTACGCAGGGCACTCCCCCTACAAATAGTAAAAAGTTGATCTAAATCCGAGAGCAACATCATGCGGCCTCTCCTAGTAAGTTTATTATAAAAATTTTTCTATTTTACATTTATGTATTTGTTTAATTTTATATCTAATTTTACATTTATGCATTTTTGTTTTTCCAGCTATTTCAAAAACAGAAAAAAAATTTGATCGAAAGAAATTCTTGAATTATAAAAGGATATGGAATAACAATCAGGGAAATATACGAAGTATTGTACTAAATGTATTACAATCTCGATCCAAAGATACAACGAATATTATGACAAAATCTGTACATGAAGAGACTACTTCAAAACGTTGTAATGAAACGTTACACAAAATAAATTATGAACCGTTACACAATAGTTTAGCTACACCACAGCGATGTACTGTAAGATCGACGCGTAAATTACTTTTTAATGAAAATGACATGGAAAAGTTGACTGATATTGATATGCAATGCGAAAGTACCATAGATTGCGTGAATAATAGTGATAATACATTTAGCAGTAAAGGTGACAATAGTGACAGTTCTATACAATTTCATAAAAAAAATGACAAGAAAAAGTTGACTGATGTTGATATGCAATGCGAAAATAACATAGATTGCGTAAGTAATAGCGATAATACATTTAATAGTAAAAGCGACAATAGTGATAGTTCCATACAATTTCATCAAAAGAACGTAAACTTACAAGTACAAAAGAAATTTTCCATTTTGCAAGGACGATTTCATATTCAACGAAATATCATTTTTAACGAATATGAAATCATTAACAGAGATAAAATACGAGAAATAATACAATACAATATGGTACATTTGCTACATTTTCTATGTCCGTTAAAGTTTTATGGCGGAATACGACGTAACAGTGATTGTTTAGTAGCATACGCAAAGTGCAGATACATCAGTCATGTACAACAATTTAAGTTTGATATAGAGAATTTAAATAATGCTATTGTTGATGTATTTGTTTCAAGTACAAAATGTACTGAAATATTGCACAAAGGACCACCTATTTTTTTAAATTTAAAAGGTGAATCGCGAGATCAGGCAAAGTTAAAAATGAATTATATATCTCCTCGAATGTTGCAATTAAAAATATTGGAAAATGTGGATCATGAACTTGCTAATGATGGATATTTTGAAGAATTGCGTAGACTTAGTACTTATCAAAAAACAAAATCTGAGGAAAATAAAAAAATGACTCATATCTTTCTTCATACGATTTATCTGATTTATTTCAGAAATATATTATAGATCAAGAATCTAATGATCCATATATACGAAATGTAAGTTTGCCATTCCATGTATACAATATGTATACAGAGGAACAAATTAATGTATTGGATAAAAATGACATTATAATTCATTTTGATGCTACTGGCTCTATTATCCGTAAACCAAAAGGTATAAAGTGCAAACGCATTCTATATTATGCAATCGTTGTTAATAAGAATGGTACTATACTTCCAGTAGCTAAAATGATAACCGCAGTACACGATATTAATGCAATTAGCATATTTTTAAAAACATTCCGACATTTTTTGCGAACTAAACGTTTTAGCTGGCCATTATTCTCAGTTATCGTTGTCGACTGGAGTTGGGCATTAATTAATGCAATTATGAACGAGTGGAATACACTAACAGTATCACAATATTTAGAAGAAGTTTACATAACGCTTAATAAGAAAGAAATAATACGTTCAAACTTAATTGTTGTACATAGCTGTTGTGCACACTTTCAAAAGCGCATTTCGTCTACTATTTCTAACAAATTTTCGAAAAGTATTAAAAATAAAAGTCTCATATTAGAGTGCATGGGTATATTGATACATTGTAACACTTTAGACGATTTAGATTATTGTTATGAAAAATTTATGATCATATTATTGACATCATCTAACAAAGAGGCTCATAATATTATAGTATTATCAATATGAAAAAATTTCATGCTTCAAAATATAAATTTGAGAATGAAATACACGATGTAAACTCAGATTTTGAAAGTGACGCAGACTTTGTAGACAATAATGAGCCAGAAGGTCGAATTTTCATCGATTCGCCATTTTTTAAAAGATACATATCGAAATTGTGCGATTTAAAAAATACTGTTGAAAAAAATAGTGTAAAAGATAATAAATACTATGCTCCAGAAATTGCAGATTACATTACAAGTCATTACATGCCTTTTGTTCCAATGTGGTCTGCTATTAAAACTGTGGTTACTATTAAAACTGGTTACACCTGATAAAATTCAATTAAGCAATGCGAATGTTGAAAGTTTTTTTAATATTGTAAAAAAAAAATGTTTTAAATGATGAAGTAAACTTAAAAGTTGGACGTTTTGTTAAAAAAATGAAAGATTATACAACACAAGTATGCGCTGAATTGAAATTGAATATATCTATAAAACGCAGAAAACGTAATATTAAATATTGAAATACACAAGACACAAATAACGAATTAATAGAAGAAACGTGGCAAAAAAAGCAAAAACCTTTGTACAGTCATTTTGAAGCTCGCTCCTTAGGACGCATAGCTAAAAAGTATAACTTTCGTACAAGTACGCCTATATCAAATAAAAATACAATAGATTTATCAGAATTGAACTTAAACGAAAGTTCTACTCATGCAAATGCCCTTGAAAATGGATTATTTTTGGATGTCGAATATTATATGAAATCACCAGACCCTACATTTACAATTGGACAATACGGATCAATAACAAATGCATCAGTAACAGGATTTGATATTTATAATCTTATTGCAGAAGAATTTTGTACTTTAAAAATGAAAATTGGATTGAAGGCAAGATTATTGATTGTTTCGCAATTACTTTACTAAACAGCATCTCTGCTAACTTTATATACCTGTATGTTCCTACAAATCATTCAAACTATATGATATGAAATTCCTATAAAACATCTAAGAGTGCACATTGGCGCATGTACAATATAAAAAATCCTATTAGCGGTGTAATGTTAATACCTTATTTATATTTATCTCATTGGCATCTTTTAATTTTTGATTGTTACAAGAATACAATTTTACACTTAGATCCAAAATATACCGAAAGTCCTGACAAGAAACGAGCGATTACAGCATTTAAAAATTATTTAAAGGAAACCTCTTTGATAGATGAGTCTGGTGAAAACATATGTGATAGATCGTGGCGCGAAATAACATGTAATAATAGGCCTTTTCAAAAGGATACATTTAATTGTGGAACATATGTTATATATTATCTAGACTGTATAATACGCGACAAATCATTTGATGAAAATTTTAATCCTGCACAATATCGAATTACAATTGCCGAATCCTTATTAACGTCATCTAGATGTATGAAAGACGTTTGTCAATATTGTTTCAGCGATCGTCAAATATCTTTAGTAATGTGCAATACTTGTCGACGTTGGGCACATCAATTGTGTCTCAAAAGGAAATTCAATGATACAACAAACTGGACAGATCCAAATGCAAAGTATAGATGCTTATTGTGTGCCAAAGGTTCGACCATGGATGAAATATGTTCAATAAAGTTTAATCAATCGTATAAAAATTTATTTTTTCTACCCCTCTTTACAACTAACAAAATAGTTTTCAAGTATCGTCATCTTAATGCATACAGTTTCGATATATATCGTAGTTTCGATATATATATATATTATCGTTGAGATGTAGGATCTTTTAAGTGATTTTAAGGGTTGTTTTTCGAGAGTAAGGGTGTCTTCCGACGTATGTATCAAATCGTACTGTTTTGTACGTTGTGTAAGAATGTTAGGAGCTCCTCTATGCAAAAGGACAAGGGCGACAAATCATTCGTTGAGATGTAGGATCTTTTAAGTGATTTTAAGGGTTGTTTTTCGAGTATAAGGGTGTCTTCCGACGCATGTATCGAATTGTATTGTTTTGTACGTTGTGTAAGAATGTTAGGAGCTCCTCTATGCAAAAGGACAAGGGCGACAACTCATTTGTTGAGGTGCAAGAATATTTTATTTGATTTTAGGGGTGGTTTTTCGAGTATAAGGGTGTCTTTCAACGCGTGTATTGCATTAATCGTTTCTGTACTTTGTTTTTGGCCCTCAGAACTTGCTCTATGCAAAAGGGTAATGGCAACAAACCCGTTTTTAGAAAATCGCTTCTGGAACGTTCCAAACTTCAACCAGCTTAAAAATAAAATACATATATGTTATCAAATAATTATTTGTAATTTATAGTTTATATTATTGCTGTTCTTTCGGGTTTTGGCATTACTGCTGGCGCTCATAGATTATGGTGTCATCGGTCTTATAAAGCGAAATGGCCACTGAGACTCATTCTTGTAATTCTCAATGCTGCTGCTCTCCAAGTAAGTTTATTGTTAATGTTTTTCTTCTCGTTTAAGTGTATTGTAAACTTTTGTTAGCTATTATTTAGAGTTCTACATTTTATTTCTGTTTTTGTAGTATTCAAATTTTATTAAGCTATAATTTTTAGGATAACATTTTCGTGTGGGTTAGAGATCATAGAACGCATCATAAATTCACTGACACTGATGCGGATCCGTATAATGCGCGTAGAGGATTTTTTTTCTCGCATATCGGATGGCTTATGGTTCATAAACATTCGGACGTCATTATCAAGGGTGCTACGATTGACATGAGTGATATAGAACAAGACCCCCTCGTGGTCTTTCAAAGAAAGTACGACAGGCATAACTTATTTTTACGGGACCAAATGAAGCATTGTTCGTTTGACTTTATATATTGATATTATCTTTTTTATTCATACTTTTTTTTAGATGGTATTCATATTTGGTAGTACTCTGTTGCTTTATCATACCAATATTGGTACCTTGGTTGGCATGGAATGAGAGTTTCTGGTATGCATGGCACATGTCTGTGTGCAGATATGGTTTAAATTTAAATTTTACTTGGGCGGTGAATTCTGTGGCCCACTTATGGGGTGAAAAACCATATAATAAGTATGCATTTGTGCAGTATATGTGACTTATTATGTACAAATATATATGTATATATATTTATTTATTTAAAATTAGTGAATCGTATTTATAATAATTCACATCATATCGGTGCTTAAAAATTACACAGGCACACAAAAAAACAAAAGTGGTATGTCCGAAAAACTAGACTCCCTACGCCTTGGTTTTTTGGTCCTCTGAATCCAAATCCGTTTAACTCCATCAAGTCCCAGTTTTTTATAATCTTAAAAAATATAAAATTTCGGGGTAAATTCGACTTTATATGAAGAAATCATTTAACTCTTGGCTGAAATTTAATGGAAACGTTATGCTGATGATATATGTCGGTGTACTGAACTATCATGCCTATTTATACTAAAGATATTTTGCATACCTTCTTGAAATACGAGATCACAGCAAGAAGGAAGCTATATTTACCGTGAGTAGCGTGCTCTCTTGGTCTCAAACGTTCTGTGTAAAGGTATTCGTTTTTTTCGCTTTCTTGCTCTTTGTAGTATATCTCTTTTCACTGTCCAGTAATAGTCAGCCATCATATTTACATTCCACCTTCCTTGATATCGACATTCCATTTCTCTGATATCTTGATGGAATCGTTCTTCTTGCTCTTTGCTATAATCACCGAGATTTTCTAGGAACCAATCGAAATGCAAATCCAAGAAATGTATCTTCAAATTCATCAGACATCCTAATTTCTTAAAGTTTTCAATCATTTTTCCCACCAATTCTTTATAATCTGGATTTCTGTGATTTCTTAAAAAATTTCCGACAACGTTTTTGAAATTAAGCCATGCTTCTTTTTCGACATCATTCATTTTTGTAGCAAAGATCCCATCTTTTAACAATGTATGAATCTGAGGGCCGTTGAATATTCCTTCTTTCAATTTAGCGTCAGAGATGTTAGGAAACGTTTGTCCTATGTAGCGAAAACAATCACCTTCTTTGTTTAAAACATTTACGTATTGCTTCATTAAACCAAGTTTTATATGGAGAGGCGGAAGTAAAACTTTTGATTTGTCAATCAACGATTCCTTGATTATCTTCATGGATCCAGGTTTCATTGTGTTCCTTTCTGGCCATATTTTTATCCCCTTTTAGAGCAGTTGTCATCGCCCGTACTGTTCATCATGTCAGCAGATTCAGTACCCAAGTAGCAAACTAATGTCACCAAAAAAACGTCAAAATGATGTCATTTTGCCACCTGGGTAGTTTCTATCCGAACATGACTTCATCATGTAATGGATGCAAGAAGTATTCAACTTCTTATAGATCGGAAAAATAAGTAAACATAAACACAAGATCATTGTGTTTTTTACGGCACAAAGACAATTGATGGTCCATTTTTTATTTATCGCATCCAAGTAAAGAGTGCACTATTTACAGTAAATATAGCTTCCTTCTTGCTGTGATCTCGTATTTCAAGAAGGTATGCAAAGTATCTCATAGTATAAATAGGTATAATAGTTCAATACACCAATATATATCATCGGCATAACGTTTCCAATTAAAAATAAAATTTCGTTTAAATTTCAGCCGAGAGTTGAATGATTTTTCCATATAAAGTCGAATTTACCCTGAAATTTCATATATTTTAAGGTTATAAAAAATTGGGATCTGATGGAGTTAAACGGACCTCGGATTTTGATTCAGAGCAGCAACAAACCAAAAAGTAGGGGGGTCTCTCGGACATACTACTTTTGTTTTTTTGTGTAACAGTGTTATTATTATATTATATAGATCAATCAGCTCTACCGACAATATTGCAGTTTCTATCATGGCTCTTGGCGAAGGCTGGCACAATTATCATCACATTTTCCCTTGGGATTACAAAACAGCGGAATTTGGAAATTATGGGTTGAATTTTACCACAGCATTTATCGACTTCTTTGTTTATTTAGGTTTAGCTTACGATTTAAAAACTGCATCCGCCGACATGATAAAAAAACGTTCTCTTCAAAGCAATGAAAATAAGAGTTACTAACTAATCGTGCAAAATTAAAGGATCCCTCGACTGTCTATATTGGTAACAAAATTACGATTTTCATATTTCTAGTCTTTTGTTGCATTAATTTGACAGAATTAAAAATCCTTCTTCAAGATTGCAATACATATCAACGATCCCAAGAAACTCCAATTTTATATGAAAAACGAGAAATGAATACGAAATTACAGTTTTTCTTATCTATGTATTTATATCTTAGTATGGCGTTTCGAATTGCAAATAAACTGTCAACTCATAATGTGTTTTATGATTTCCACGTTAGATCCGCATTGATCCTCTTTTTTCTACCTCTTAGCTTCTTTTTCTTCTCCATCACCTTCCATTTTTGTTCCCCTTTCTCCAATTCTATCATCACTATCTCCTTTTCTTTCTTTCTGTCCTTTCCTATTTTCCTTATTTTCATTATTCTTACCTTCGCCTCTATCTCCTCCAGCAATTTCTCTGCCCACTCTCTTCTTTTCTCTTAACTTCCAATCCTTTTATGACTGTTCTTCCTCCTTTTCCTTTTCAATTATCTTTAACTCCTTCCATATCCCCTACTCTTTTTCCATTTCTTTTTCTATGGGTCCCTCTTCCTCTTTCTTACCCTCCCTCCAATTCGCCATCTTTTTCTCCAGCCCTTCCACTCTCCTCTTCATTCCTTCTATATTCTCTTTTTAACTCCTTCTCTTCTCTCCATTTTTCATTGCTCTCTGTAGT